AAAAAAAAAAAAAAATTGTTGTTGTTAAAGGAAACTAGTGCAGATTGCTAGAATTTGGTAAATTTGACCTATACTTATGGATGTTGCTGTTGTTGTTAAGTACCATGGAGTCCGTTCTGACTTATAGTGACCCTATGAAGGCTGTAAATCTTTACGGGAGCAGACCGTCTCATCTTTATCCTGTGGAACATCTGGTAGTTTTGAACTGCCGACCTTGAGGTTAGCAGCCCAATTCATAACCACTACACTACCAGAACTTATGGATGTAGTAGCTCAAAATACCAATTGAGGGAAGGAGTCTTCACATCAAGTATCAATCCTATCTCCACTGTATATAGGGTTGATAGGGATGGGCAACTTAGGCATTGGCTACATAAAATGGGGGTACTATAAAGGCATTAAGTGTCTGGCTTACAAGTTTTCAAGAGGGAGTTTAGTTTCAGAGTGTGTGGGGGAAGGTAGAATCCCCACTGAATAGTTTTCATCTTTTCTAGACAGGTCTGGTGAAAGGAGATGGGGTAAGTTTCTTATGATTCAATAATTAATTAACTGTTATGATTAATAGCTATTATCACAACTGTAAAGATAGAAGTTTTGTAACACAAAGGGGGGAGTAGTTAATCTTTCATTCCAGGAACAGAGGACCCTAAGACCATCAAGGGAGAAGAGCACGAGTAGAATGCAGGAACCTATCCAGAGAAGCAGCGACACCAGAGATGGAGGCAGGGATGAGGACATGGAGAGCAAGAGCAGCTGAAGACTCTAGACTCACGCAAAGAGAAAGGCTGGCGGCCAGAAGGCAGGTTTGCAGAATGTGCCCTTTGGTTGTTCAAATGATTATATATTTGCTAAGTGCTTTTGTGTACATCCCCCCCAAAAACAAAACAAAACAAAAAACAGAGGAAATAGAAGCAAATACTGTTGAATGATGATGCACGGAGGAGTTTGTAAGCATTGAAATAAAACAATGAGTGTAAAATCAATGTTATCCCATGTAAATTATCACTGAATTCACAAAAAATTTTTTAAAAAAAGATAATGTCAGGCGTTGGTCATTCTTTGAAATGATGGTTATAACCTTACATTAAAAAACATACAAATATGCCCAGTGAAGGAGGCTTCCTGCGGAGCCTCTGTAATACATTAGACTATAGGTGGAAGCCTGAACTACATCCAGATCTACAGAGATGGGAAATTTCCACTTGAAAGGACGAGCAGACCAGCCTGGAGCGGCTAGAAGAAGATACTTCTTGAAAGAAAGACCTACAGGAAAAGTACAAAACAATAGAGGTAGATGGACTGTTACTACAAGAACAAACAAGTTGCTTGCCCAGGAAACATCAAGGCAAGTGGTCAGGTCCCCTCAGTGCAAACCCCCTTCCAAGACTAAGACTCAATAGGAATACATGCTCTGATTGCTGACCACGCTCATCACCGATAAGGGGAAGTGAGGGAAAAACAGCAATGAAGCAGTGAGCTAAGCCCTACAATGTTCATTAGACTTCTGTGAACCCGGGTGGAGACCTGGCTGGCCAGCAGTGTGGCAAGACCTGGGGACTCTTGGGCCCAGAGTCAGTGACATAGCCACAGAGGACTAGAGTGGAGAGTGAAGTGTCCAGCTGATAAGAAGAAAGGGCATATGCATAAGAACACCCACACTTGCAGATAATACCCACTTATCCTGGCTTCAGTGACTGGATGATCAGAGCTCAACCAGAAGAAGAAAGAAAAGGGAAAAAGAGTAATCTGATACAATTTGATGAACTTGACCTACACCTATGGATGCAGTAGCTCAAAAGAGGGAACAAATCTTTACAATAAGGATCATTCCCACCTCCTCTATACACAGAGTAGACAGGGATGGGCAACTTGGACATTGGCTACCCAAAATGGGGGACAGGGGGCTACAAAGGCAAGAAGTGACTGGCTTACAAGCTTTCAAGAGGGAGCGTAGAGCCACAGGGCCAGGAGGAAGGCAGAATCTCTAGGGAGTAGTATCCAATCTGTCTAGGTGGGGCTGATGAAATGAAATGCAGATGGGTCTCTTGTAATACAATAGTGAATAATTGTTATCAGGACTGATTGTGAGGGTTGGAAATGTAAAGGTAGACGTTTTATAGCATAGAAG